TCCGTCTTCAATCATCCTTCTTCTTCGTTGAAAACGCCTAGGCCTAGGTTTTGGCGTCTCCGCACTGAGCCTTTCAAAAACTAAAACTCTTTTGGGGACCGCCTTGATGCAGTTGCATTCAGACAATACCGCCCGAATGAGTTTGGAACAGGGGCATCGAATTTCCTGTTCTCGGGGACTCCTCTTCCTGGTTCTATTTGTACCCCCAGCACGATAGTACAACTCGTCATTTTGACAGTCGGAGTAACCTATCGTGTGCGGGCACGACTTCTCAGGTATAACACTATCACTATCAGATGATAATGTTTCCATCTGAGGTTGGATCGCCTTCTTTGGGCTTTCAAAAATTACACGCCTCAAAACGTGCCTTTGTGGGCGCGAGTCTTCAGTGTGCTCTTGGACTTCGATGCGCAAATTGGTGCATGCAGTTGCCTTGAGCTCTTTGTCATACTGGAGGTGACGGCGACCCCCAACGTGTTGAGTCGTTCTGGGCTTCTTCATTGGGCCCAAACGCTCGTGAACTGGACCGAGGCGCTTCTCGTCGGGAACTGGACCGAGGCGCTCCAAAACTGGCTTCCTCCTTCGGGATGATTCTGCATGATCCATAGGAATTAACGGCGACTTTGGTTGATTCGCCGGAGTTTGACCTTGCTTAGAAGGCTGCGATGGTTGCTTTTTGGCCTGAGTCGCCACTTCAGACTTCGGCTTCCAGACTTGGCGGGTTGGTGGTGGCTTCTTCGTCTCCTCCTTTTGCAGTCTTCTACGGGCTTCCTAGACTTTAGCCCGTGCCTGTGCTGACATCGCGCGGCGCTTGCGGATACGCTCCTCAAGCGTCGAACGGTTCCGTTTGACGCGGACCCATTCGTTCTTTGGCGGCTTGGAGGAGTCGCCGTTCATTGGTGGTTGAGGCTGTTTGCCTCTTCTGTTCTTCAAATCCGCGTTGTAGCGGAATCCGTCCGTAGACTCCATCGCCTTAGCGAGTTGCCGCGCAAGGCGTTGACGACGCCTCTGGCGGGCTCTCTTTGAGAGAGTCACAACGCCCTCAATGGTGGAGGCGTCGGCGGGAGTAAGGTTGACCTGGTTGGAGGCCGGTGGAACTTCACCTGACGCAACTTCGGCGTCAGCTGGGGTGAGAGCTTCGTTGGCTTTCCGAGCTTCTTCAAACCAACGAACTTTTCTCCTGGAGGAGAACTTCTTGGACTTGCGGGGGGAGGTAGATCCGGACGAGGACACGTACTCCTCGAACTTGGCTTGGTCGAACTCATACTCCACCTCCTCCACGACCGGGATTGAGATCCGCGGCTGCGACGTGACGATCTCGGCAGCGAGATCGGCGGCTCCCACTGTGGTCGCCAGATTGTTTGCGGTGAAAATCGTGTCTTTCTTTGTAATTGATTCCATTGTCATCTTAAATAACAACTTTTTGAGTGGAGGTAGATCCGGACGAGGACACGTACTCCTCGAACTTGGCTTGGTCGAATTCGTACTCGACCTCCTCCATGACCGGGATTGGAATCCGCGGTTGCGACGTATCGATCTCGACAGCGAGATCGCCGGCTCCCACTGTGGTCGCCAGATTGTTCGCGGGGAAAATCGTTTCTTTCATTGATGTCATTGTGATCTCAAAATAACAACTTTTTGTGGTTACAAAAGATCCGGTCTTTTTTAGATCCGGTTACAATTAAATCAAAGAAAAATAATAAAAATTACAACTTTCCTTTTGTGAACAAATCGCGAGCTCCTGTTTTGCGGTCACTCGCTTTTGTGGGTTTTTTGCCAACGCCGGGGTTAATCCGTGGACCACCGCGCGATCTAGATCCGGTCGGATCTACACGATTATACGGGTATTATTCCACGAAGGGAATAATAGCCGGGAGGGATTAGTTCACTAAGGAAATAATCGCTCGGATCTCGGGATCTAAGACCAAGCTTAGATCCGGAGTGTGATCTCGTGTAGATCTCAGATCTGTTCTTCCCTTCTCTCGAACTCCTGCCTTTTGTGACGTGGATGCTCGCCGAGGATCAGATCTGGATGTCCAAGTCTTCAAGTCTTCAAAACTCTAAGCTCGAGCCACCCATGGGTGGCTCGGTCTTGGTCGAGCCACCTATGGGTGGCTCGGCTTAAGCCGAGCCCCCTTAGGCGTTGTTCCGTCGTTTTTTCCATTTTTGGTTCTATCCGTGATTCGGTTCTGTGGTTGATTTATCCAGACTTTGACTCGTTGTTCTGATTTGGCAGTAAGTCGGATTCCTGATTTGGCAGTAACTCCACTTCTGAGTTCGAGTCCGAAACCGATCTTGATTCGGTCGTGATTCATCCGAGTCCGCTCTTGTTTGGATGACTCGTTGACTCCCCGAACCGTTGGCTTGATTCCGCACGCGAATGGATGCATTCCGTTGCTCGCGTGCGATTCGTTGACCTTGTCGCCTCGTCACTCGATGGTTTGTCGAATCATCGCGTCGAGCTATGCCAAGGGACTTATAAGCAATTTTACATGCCTACAACTGCATGGCCAATATCTGGTCTCGTACTGACCATTGCAGAATATATCTCGATCTGCAAAATACTGAAGACCATACAAAATATTACGGTTTTAACATGCTATGTTTTACAAAAAATTAAGGTATGTACCTGAGTTGCAAGGTCGCCAATTGCCAATCTCGAGAGGACAATTTTTGCTCCACTCTTGACACACTTATCTAACTTGTCGTAGATGATATTCCACTCAGCATCAACTATTGACTGATACTGCAGTGGATCTGATAGTCTACAAATGACTTATAAATTGATTATAAGAGAACCATAAAACATGATGAAAAAACATATTAACATAGCACATTTATTGGAGTTGATTTTACCTGATTTCAGCATTTTCTTTCTCTGATTTCAACTCTAATTCAATGTTTAACAGAAGGATTTTTGGATTCAGAAACTTCTTTGGCTTCTGCTCAAAACCAACATAAGAGAATGTCTTTTTGAAAGCAACACCATTAACAAGAAATGAATCCCTCATAGTACCCCTAGAACCTGCACCAGAAGCCGTAATTTAAACTTCAAAAACCTTTACTGCACACTAACTCATTGCAAGCAATACCTTTAAAATTCCATCCAGTAGAAATTAAATAATTCCACATCATTAGGGTGCAAAGCCCCCCCCCCCCACCCAACCCCCAAAGCAAAAGAATAAGAAATAAGATATGATAGTCATAAAACAGATGGCAATAAAGATGAAGAGTTGTTTGCCTTAAAGACTTGACTCAGAAAATAAATTCTAAACCTAAGCAATAAGAAGTATTAGATTCTACATTAGCCTCCCAAATTTTATGCCAATGCTCCAGATTCAAAAGTTATGCGCTTGGAATTGACGAGTAAAACGATCTTTTCATCTAGAAGCTTTAATCAAGACAGTAAATACACAACAGGAAAAAGAGACGAGTTATTAACCATATGCATGATGAAACCTTACAGTACCCAAAATTTTACATCCACTTCAGAATACCGATTGCTTTCAAAATGTACTTCAGATGTCGCGCACATATAACCAATAACCCCGCCAATGCACAAACCCACCCACCCCCAGAAAAAACAAATATCAGTTAAGACCTTTTGGGTTTCAAATGCTAGAAAACTGAACATAATTGAAGCATGAAGTTCCAACTTCTGAGAATAGAACAATCAATATATGTTTAGATGCTAACAAAGCTGCCTTAATGGGTGTTAGAAACTTAGAATTAATGTTATCACGCTTGCAGTTGTTATCAATGTCATTTAAAATTTAAAATGAACTTAATGAGCACCAAATCATATGCGAAAAAGCAAATAAACGCGTGAAGGACTGATGAGAATAACCTTTTTTATTCCAAGTAAATTTAATCTATCATCATTTACAATAGCAAGGACAGCGTCCACAACCATTTCAGCAAAAAATTCTTTTTCGCCTCCTATTAATTTTGATGATAGTGTTGTAGCAGCACATTTTGCCAATAAGGACTTCTTTTCCTCAAGGCTCTTCCCTTCTATGCTTACAGAGAGCTCTTTAACTTTGCTAATGGCCTGTAATACATGGTATAATATTCAGTTCAGCGAACAATAAACTACAGTATATCATGCAGACAGTCACTAATACACTCACCAAGTTGCCTGCAGCTCGGTAGCTTCTAATAAGATTTTGAGGATGGACACCATCCTCAATGAAAGGTTTTGCCTCTTTCAAGAATTCACCTGCAAGCAGCACGACTGTAGTGGTACCATCACCAACCTGCAACAAGCCAGAACATAAGACTACAGATTATCTTTCACAAATAATACACAAAATTAGATGTGACAAAAATTGTGCAATGCTTAAATTGTAGATATAATGCTGCCACCAAGCATTTTAAAATTATCCAAAAAGAAATCTTTTGATTGTGAAAGATTGAATCTTTAACATCCAAAAAGATTGAATCTTTAACATCCAAACATTGAGTTAACTTCTCCACAGAACAAGAAAACAACCTTCGTCCTCATTTTCCTGTAGATCTTCATCGAGGGTCTAACCAACTAGAAAGTAAAAAAACTCAAAAGCCATAGAATTAACTAAAACTAATTTCGTTACGTCGGAGTCCTGAGACTTGGCGATATCGACAAGGATCTTGGCAGCAGGGTGAACGATGTCGAGCAGCTTCATGATCGTAGCCCCATCGTTGGAGATAGTGGTGTTTCCCTTGTCGTCGTGGATGAGCTTGTCCATTCCCCTCGGGCCGAGAGTTGTACGGACGGTGTCGGCGACGGCGGTGCAGGCGTTGATGTTGCTCACTACTTTCGCTTTGCCCTGCGACGTGTTGTTGCCTTCCTTTAGATGTATGATCTGAGGCTGGAGCATCGCCGCCATCGCGCTGGGTGAGATCTAGGGTTGGGGTTTGGAGAGGAGGAGAAGTTGGAGGGAGTGGATTTGAGAGTGTTTTGAGAGTTTCAGGGTTTTAGTATGCGGGAGAGGGGAATGCGAGGGTCTGTCGAGATTAGGGCAGTTAACGGGTTAACGGGTTTGAAGTTTGGATACAGTGGTCTAGTGGATACAAGGGAGATTATAATATGAAGAGAAGAGTTTTCATTTGCTCTCTTATATGGTGTGTCTGGCGGGAGCGCAATGACAGATTGTTTTCTAATAAGCAGAAGAGCTCTCTTGCCCTCTTGAACAAAATTGTGACTTTTTCAACATTTTGGCTAGGATCTGAGGAGATCTCTGCTCGAGCTACCACATTACAAGAAAGAAGAAGAAAAAGAGCTGCTGGTTTCAATACTGCCAAGGTTGCTGATTTTGGGAACAAAGATGGTGCGGCTACAGTGATTCAATTGTGATGATCCGTTTATATTCACTGGATATGCTCTTGGTTTTGCTTGAAAGAAACTTTGTTCTTCTGTTTTGTTTTTTGGTTCTTTTGACAAACTTGTTATATCAGGTATTTGGGGGAGGTTATGTCCGTTTTTTTCCAGTTGTATACAGGGAATGGGGTACTACTACTTGTAGTATTTTCTTTTGAACTTTAGTACATACTCTTGGTTGGGAGTATGAACTTTTTTTGTAACAACCACTTTATCTTTTAATTTAGCTGGCTGGAATACCTTTGGGGTATTCCATCCTTTTTCTCCAAAAAAAAAAAAAAAACGGGTTAATGGGTTTCGGCCAAATTCCTGACCTACCCAATTAGAGTTCGGGTGCTGAAATGCAAATTCCTCGTGAGAGTTTGATGCAAAGTCGTTAATAATGGAATCAATATCTATGTTTTGTAACATCTCATTCTCGATGCATAGCATTGCTAAATTGTTCAATCTTTCTTGTGCCATTGTTGAACGCAAGTAGGTTTTGACCAACTTCAACTTTGAAAAACTTCTTTCCGCTGAGGCTACAAACACAGGCAAGGTTAATAAGATTCGATAGGCAATTGAAACATTTGGATAACAATCAACATGTTTAACAAATTCCAAAATTTGGAGTGCTGTCATTGACACATCTGGTAATGTATTTTGCAACACTCTTAATTCAGAAAACATATCATTAAAGTCAATATCAGATGAATCATTATGAGATAAAACTCTTTCAAGGTGATTGCAAGAATCTCTTAATTTATTATCATCTAATGACTTCAAAGTAATCACATAAAAATCCAAAAATGCTTTCAAATGTCTTCAATTGTTCAAATCTCTCTTTCAATGAAGTGATTGCCATATCCACAACAATAAACAAATAATTAACTCTAAAAGACTCCTCCGTGGATTGTATTTCTTCATTATGATCATTTTCATCAAATTGTTTTTTCCTAATGATCCGGTGTTTTGTTGGAAATGTAGGATCCACATTCATATCAAATGCAACACTTCTAGCAATATCCAAACTCTTCTCAAACCCATCATTTCTAAAGTTTTCAAAATATAACATCACATCTGATACCTGTTTCATAGTAGTATTAATGTTCATATTTTTATTTTGTAATTTTTTGCTCACCATGTTAATAGCAAATAAAATGTCATACCAAATAATCATACCAAGTAAAAATTCAAAGTTCTCAATTGCAGTTACCAAACTTTCAGCTTCACTCTTTGTTTTCGCATCTTCTGAAGATTTATATAATTCTGACAAAGCCAATCTTATTTGAGGGGCTTGAAATCTAATGGCTTTTACACTTTTAACCCTACTCTCCCAACGGGTATTACACAAAGATTTGACAGTAAATGAAGAAACACTATCAAGTAAGATCTTCCACCGCTTAGTAGAACTCAAAAATAATGAATATATATGTTGCACAACTCCAAAAAATGAGATAGCTTTAACACAAGAATGTGCCATATCACTAAGAGTAAGATTGAGACTATGACAAGCACATGGCATATATAAAGCTCTTGGATTAAATTCAAGTAATCTTTTTTGAACACCTTGATGTTTACCTTTCATATTAGAACCATTATCATAACCTTGCCCTCTAATGTCATCAACATTAAGGTCAAGTAGTTTTAATACATTTAACAATTCATTAAAGAGCCCCAGTCCAGATGTATCATCTACCTTCAAAAATTCTAAGAAATACTCTTCTATTTTTATTTCATTTTTACACATCGTACAACTAGGACCATTTGTTCTTGATGACTTATATCTGGAGTGCAATCAAGAATTACAGAAAAATATTTTGCTTCTTTAATTCTCTTTATGATAGAAGTTTTAACACTAACGCCTAAACGAGAAATCAACTCATTTTGTATTCTGTGGCTAAGATATTGATAATGAACTTCATGATTTTGAATTCGTCTAACATGATCTTGCATTATTACATCAAATTCTGCGATCAACTCAATAGTTCCCAAAAAATTACCATTATTATTTTGATAGAGCTTCTCATTAGATCCTCGAAAAGCCAAATGATTTTTAGCAAGACATTTTATGACGGCTAGTATTCTAATCAAAACTTGTCGCCATCGTTCTTTTTCCATCATAATTTGTTTTTGCAACTCATTATCAATTGTTTCATTTTTTTCCCAACCTTAGTCTTAGCTCATTCCAGGAGCTCATATTAGTCATATGCTCAATACTATTTTCATGGTCAGATAGTCTTTTGCAAATGTCTCCAGTCTCTCAATCCTTCATTTGCTAATAAAGTTGTATTGCTATTAGATTTGAATAATTTACAACAAAAGCAAAACACTTTATCGACAAGTTTAGAGTAAATCAACCATTTTCGATCACTAATTTCTCCATTACTCAATTTTCTAGAATAATGTGCATATGAAAATTTCCTTCGGTCTTCATCTAAAGGAAAATTAATGTTCAATTCTCTTTCAAATCCCTTCTCAACTAAAATGTCCCTTGCTTTGTTATCAAGATTTTTCCATGTGCTAGGTTCATATATATCAAAATGTGGTAAAGCTTGACTATCATCACCTAGATTTTCATTATCAAATTCCCTTGGCATAACATTATCATTATGAAAATTCGGTAAAGATTGACCGTCATCAACTACATTTTCATTATTTAAATCACTTAGCATAATATTTTCAGTAATAGGTTCACTTGAAACAATATTTTCATCACTTAAATTTTCATTTGATTCGCTAACTATAGGAACATTTGAACTTCTTGATAAAAATTTATCAATAGCTCATTTTTGTGATTCAACAAGTTCTTCTTCTCGTTTTTTCTTTTTTCCTTTTTTCATTTCCGCATAAATATTTTCGAGGTGCCATTTTATAAATAAACAAATAACTAAACAACTATATGAAATTTAAAACAAATAACAAATGTAATTTGCAATAGAATAACAAAGTAAAAGAAAAAGAATAATAGCACCTGATCAAATGTATGAATACGATAATGCCCAAATCACCAAAAAAATTATTGCAATGTATCACTGTATCAGCCTTTGAGAACAAATAGCAGATGGACAAGTATGATTTTAATAGACAACCTTATATTAATTTTTATTGAACATATAATCTCTTTTTATAGTGGAGTATTATATGAGAGAAATTAATAATTATTTAATGTTAGTGTTAATTATAAAGGAGCAAAAGTGAATGTCAAACGGTAAAAATTCTAAACGGCTAAAATTTGTTACTAAAAATGAGGAGGTGGATTGATATTGTAGAAAGAAGATCCGGAGATATATAGCTCAAATAGGCATGATTGTTTAATTTCATTGATTACTAAATCTCGTAATTTTCGTCAAATTAACTACTTGTTCAATAACTTCAACCAACTCTATTTACTAAGGTTTGCTTTGACGGTTTGAATTCCTACAATATGATCTTCCTTTGGGTCAGATTTTGGGCCATAAAATACTTAATACTATTAAAGAACTTTATAAAATTTTAGGGCCCCTTTTCAGTGGGGGCCCTATGCGGTTGCGCCCCCCGGCCCTAGCCCAGGGCCGGCCCTGACTAGGCCCCTAAGTTTTACCCATCTCTTCTGAGAAGCCCGTGATTTTTACCCCTCCCAATTCTTCTTGTTAGCCTGGAGGTTTCGTTAGCAGAAAAAGAAAGTTGGGTGCTTCTTAGAACAAAGTGGTAAAGCTCAAGGGTTTAGTTGTTTAAAAAAAAAGTTGAGGGCTTATTAGAAGGAATGGGTAAAAGCTAAGAGCTTTTTAGAAAAAATGGGTAAGACTTAAGGTAATCTTTAGCCTATCTTCTCAATTTCTAATTGTGGCCATTTTTCCTTTTTTTGGAGGGAACTTCCTCACAATCATTGGGTGTCACTAAGGCCCCGTTTGGTTGCAAAACAGAAAGGCTGAAAGCCTGACAAAAGCCTGAAGCTTTTGTCAGGCTTTCAGCCTTGTTATTATGCAACCAAACGGGGCCTAAGGGGCACCCCCAACACACGACCTCATGTACTTCACGAAATTAAATTCACGTGGGTGCTCTCTAGAAAAGTCAAAGCTAAGACATTAAAATAATGCTCATAATTAGCTTACTAACTCGGCTAGACACTCTTGGGTTTTATTGTGGTGATTTTGAAAGCGCTGAATTATTAGATTGGTATTTTTATTAGCATCATATTCTCAGATATAGTTTTTTTTCTTTCACTTGCAGTATTACGAAAACTAATATCACCATTTGACGTGAATTTGATATTTATGTCATATAGGAAAAATAACCAAATTACTTTATTTAGTAGTAGAAAAACATGACCAAAATTGAAAATGATCATTTTGTTATGAGCACATATCAGAATGAATTGTAACTTTTTTGCTTCTCATTTCCAATCACATCCTAATTCATTATCGAATTTATTTTAGTTTCAAATTTGTTGGTGAATCACGATGCGTTATTTACATTTTCTGATTGACTGGAGTACAAGACTGTTGCAGACGCAGTGCTTTAAAAAAAGTTTTTGATTTGGCCATCGTATGAAGAATGCTGCAAATTGCAACAGCCAGCCCCCCCACATACTTCTAAAAGTCTTGGCATTAAGCAATCATACGGTATCGTACTAACAATCAAGTTTCTTTCAACCACATACTTCTAAAAGTCTTGGCATTAAGCAATCATACGGTATCGTACTAACAATCAAGTTTCTTTCATACTTCTACTCTTTCTCACGATTTATGCTTTTGTTTGAAAGGAACTTGAATCCACTCCAAATACCAAACAAGGCCTCAAAAGCTTAGGTCCACTTTCTAGCCCTTGGACCTGCAATTCGTAGGGGGAAGAGAAACTAGATTACTAGATTGCTAGAACCCATCATTATGGCATACTATTGGCCGCTTTTGCGAACGAAAAACGCATATTCTGCAATATTTCACCGCTATTGGGCGATAGCGTAGCGGGAGGGAACCGCTAACGCTATTAGCGCCGCTATTACAGGACTATTTACTGCTATTTATAACAGTATTGAAGTGTATCCTAATCAATAACCATATGAAATACGAAGTGGCTGAAGAGAACTCATGCCCATAATTCCTTAAAGGTCCTTCTACTTTCATTCAATCAAACTTACAAGGCGTGCAAAAATATCTAGTTAACACCTGTAAGTTTTTAACATAAGAATATTGGTCAACATCCAAAAAGATTGAATCTTTAACATCCAAACACTGAGTTAACTTCTCCACAGAACAAGAAAACAACCTTCGTCCTCATTTCATTCCTTGGTCCTCATACAGCGTCACATCTGAACAACTTATGATGTCGAATCCCTGTAGATCTTCATCGAGGGTCTAACCAACTAGAAAGTAAAAAACTCAAAAGCCATAGAATTAACTAAAACTAATTTCGTCACCTTGGAGTCCTGAGACTTGGCGATATCGACAAGGATCTTGGCAGCAAGGTGAACGATGTCGAGTAGCTTCATGATCGTAGCCCCATCGTTGGAGATCGTGGTGTTGCCCTTGTCGTCGTGGATGAGCTTGTCCATTCCCCTCGGGCCGAGAGTTGTAGGGACGGTGTCGGCGACGGCGGTGCTGGCGTTGATGTTGTTCACTACTTGCGCTTTGCCCTGCGACGTGTCGGTGCCTTCCTTTAGAAGTATGATCTGAGGCTGGAGCATCGCCGCCATCGCGCTGGGTGAGATCTAGGGTTAGGGTTTGGAGAGGAGGAGAAGTTGGAGGGAGTGGATTTGAGAGTGTTTCGAGAGCTTCAGGGTTTTAGTTTGCGGGAGAGGGGAATGGGAGGGTCTGCCGAGATCTAGGGCAGTTAACGGGTTAACAGGTTTCGGCCAAATTCCTAACCTACCCAATTAGAGTTAGGGTCCTGAAATGCAAATTACTCGTGAGAGGATAGTCTGACGAGCCCCAAAGGCTTATCTGTCTTTTTTAATAAGCCCTCAAGTTTCTGTTTTTGAAAAAGAAGCTCGTAAGTTTTACTCCATTCTTCTAAGAAGTCCTCAAGTTTCTTTTTTTGACCACTAGGCCCCTAAGTTTTACCCATCTCTTCTGAGAAGTCCCTGATTTTTACCCCACCCAATTCTTCTTGTTAGGCTGGAGGTTTCGTTAGCAGAAAAAGAAAGTTGGGTGCTTCTTAGAACAAAGTTGTAAAGCTTAAGGGATCAGTTGTTAAAAAAAAAGTTGAGGGCTTCTTAGAATGAATGGGTAAAAGCTAAGAGCTTTTTAGAAAAAAAATGGGTAAGACTTAAGGTAATCTTTAGCCTATCTTCTCAATTTCTAATTGTGGCCATTTTTCCTTTTTTTGGAGGGAACTTCCTCACAATCATTGGGTGTCACTAAGGCCCCACATTAAAATAATGCTCATAGTTAGCTTACTAACTCGGCTAGACACTCTTGGGTTTTATTGTGGTGATTTTGAAAGCGCTGAATTATTAGATTGGTATTTTTATTAGCACCATATTCTCAGATATAGTTTTTTTTCTTTCACTTGCAGTATTACGAAAACTAATATCACCATTTGACGTGAATTTGATATTTATGTCATATAGGAAAAATAACCAAATTACTTTATTTAGTAGTAGAAAAACATGACCAAAATTGAAAATGATCATTTTGTTATGAGCACATATCAGAATGAATTGTAACTTTTTTGCTTCTCATTTCCAATCACATCCTAATTCATTATGGAATTTATTTTAGTTTCAAATTTGTTGGTGAATCGCGATGCGTTATTTACATTTTCCGATTGACTGGAGTACAAGACTGTTGCAGACACAGTGCTTTAAAAAAAAGTTTTTGATTTGGCCATCGTATGAAGAATGTTAGGACTCATGTGGATGAGCCTACTTTTGAATCTTGTTTTGATGATGTTGCAAACAATTTATAATATGTTTTTTAGTATTTGTGTGTTGTTTCAGGTTAAGTAACTCCAGAGCCTCAGTTATGTAGAAGCTCATTCAACTCAGTCAGATCCAAGATTTTGCTTCTCATGCATATCAACTTGGTACAACTAGCATAGGACTTTATGTTGTGTGAATACATCTCAAGCTCAATATCCATATAACACACACATTTGTTCTTAATGTGATTTTATCAAATATACTGAGATATCAGTGTATAGACTTAATTTTAGCTATATTCAGTTTTTGTTAAGTCTCCAAATTCATTTAAAAATGCCTCATATCCTTGTTTATCTCATTTGTTCAAAACAAAGAAAATTATACACTCATTTTACATGTTTTTAGCAAAACCATGAGATTTTTCAAACAGTGTATCACATTTGGAAAATTCCATCTGGAATACACTCATATATATGCTTATAAACTATTTCCCAAATTTTACATTTTTTGGAATTTGTTTGATATTTTTTAACATGGTTCAAAGTTCAGATTTTCTGCATTTCTTCTGATCAGTGCACGTTCAGTCGACTCATAAGTCGACTCATAAGTCGACTTATAAGTCGACTCACGAAGTGTTGTGGAATTGTCATTTTCATCTGCTGAGTCGACTCATATAAGTCGACTCATTAGTCGACTCATGAGTCGACTCATAAGTCGACTCGTAAGTCGACTTACCAAAGAGCCGTTGCACAGTAACGGCTAGTTTGCTGTTTTATGTGTTTGGGGCTTCTTGGTCTTTTTCCTTGGGCTTTAGCTGATGTATTGAGATGTTGTATATACCCATATATTCTGAACTCTTTAAAAGTACCCAAGAAGTTTTCTTAATCAAGTTTGAAAGAGTTTATCTTGTGTTTAAAGAGGTGTTTAAGCCTTTGTTTAGTTTGAAAAAGTATTGGCATTATAAGGAGGAGCTTGTATCACTTGTTGAGGAAATCATCCTCAATATTCAATCATCCTCTTCTTGTAGAGAAGTGTTTCTAACTCATCTTTCTAGCACTCAATTCTTGTTAATCTTATTGCTAGTTGGATTTCATTTAAACTCATTTATTACACACTCACTTTGAGCTTGATTATATTTCATACAATATATTGTTGGGTAGTGGTGTGTGATTTAGTGAGTGTTGGGAATTTAACGCCTAAATCCCTAATGCAACAGAAACGTAGAATAGAAAAAAGTACACTAAGATTTACGAGGTTCGGCAACTGCCTACGTCCTCGGGAGCCACCCAGATAATTTCTTATTAATCAAACAAAAAAATTACAAATTAAGAGCAAATCCCAAAACTGAGATTTCTCAAATGAACACTGTAGCTACAGTGTTAATAATTAAAGGGAATAAACCCCTTTCAAAGGGAATAAAAACCCTAATTAATTTCTCTCTCTCTCTCTCTCTCTTTCTTAAACTTTTCTTAATCTCCCCTCAAAGGAACATGAGAGCTGGAGATGAAATAAAATCACTGCTGTGATTTAAAAGGAGGGGGGGCCGAAAGAGGTTGAGAAAAAACGCGTCTACGTTTTCGATCGCCGCCAGAGAGAAATCGGGGGAGAGGAAGCAAACCGAACCCTAGGGCACAAAGGGGTTTATATAGGAGGATTGGAGGGCTGGCGACAGCCTGTCGCCAGCGGATAAGCCCGACGCGAGGGTCGGAGGCCAAACGCGGGGGTCGGAGTCGCCCACCACGCTCGCCTGCGTGGTTCTCAAGCTCGTCGGAGCTTCGCCGGAGCTCCTCGCCGCAATTGAGGATTGATCTACACCCCATTCTAACAATCTCCCACTTGGAGATCAAACCGCCGTCAAAAGGCTATCTCATCAAGCTCCTCTCATGTGTGGCTCCGCCCTCATCATCTATGCATGAAGGCCAACTGAAGTTGCGCACAACTCCAGTTTCTGAACGGTCACCGTCTTTGTTAACATGTCTACTGGATTCTTACTTCCTGGAATATTTTCCAGTTTCAACACGTCATCTTCCAACAGGGATCTGATGAAGTGATACCGAAGCGCAATATGCTTCGTTCTAGAATGAAATGCAGAATTCTTCGCCAAGTGTATCGCACTCTGGCTATCACTGTGCAAAACATTCTTCTCTTGTTTGAATCCCAGCTCTGTCAACAAACCCTGAAGCCATATCATCTCTTTACTGGCTTCAGTCACTGTAATATACTCAGCTTCTGTAGTGGATAGGGGAACGATCTTCTGTACTTGTGACATCCAACTAACAGTTGTAGTTCCGACGGTGAATACATAGCCGGTGGTGCTTCTTCGGTGATCAACTTCACCGCCGAAGTCTGCATCTACGTACCCTTGCACTTCTACCTCTCCCTTACTAAAGTGCAAACACTTCTGTGTGGTGCCTCGTAGATATCTCAGAATCCACTTGACCGCTTCCCAATGAGCTTTTCCTGGATTCGACATAAACCGGCTGACCACTCCCACTGCATGGCCAATATCTTGTCTCGTACAGACCATTGCAGAATATATCTCGATCTACAAAATACTGAAGACCATACAAAATATTACGGTTTGAACATGCTATGTTTTACAGAAAATTGAGGTATGAACCTGAGTTGCAAGGTCGCCAATTGCCAATCTCGAGAGGACGATTTTTGCTCCACTCTTGACACACTTATCTAACTTGTCATAGATGATCTTCCACTCAGCATCAACTATTGACTGATACTGCAGTGGATCTGATAGTCTACAAATGACTTATAAATTGATTAAAAGAGAACCATAAAACATGATGAAAAAAATATATTAACAGAGCACATTTATGGGAGTTGATTTTACTTGATTTCAGCATTTTCTTTCTCTGATTTCAACTCTAATTCAATGTTTAACAGAAGGATTTTTGGATTCAGAAACTTCTTTGGCTGCTGCTCAAAACTAGCATAAGAGAATGTCTTTTTGAAAGCAACACAATTAACAAGAAATGAATCCCTCATAGTACCCCCTGGAACCTGCACCAGAAGCCGTAATTTAAACTTCAAAAACCTTTACTGCACACTAACTCATTGCAAGCAATACCTTTAAAATTCCATCCAGTAGAAATTAAATAATTCCACATCATTAGGGTGCAACCCCCCCCACCCACCCAACCCCCAAAGCAAAAGAATAAGAAATAAGATATGATAGTCATAAAACAGATGGCAAAAAAGATGAAGAGTTGTTTGCCTTAAAGACTTGACTCAGAAAATAAATTCTAAACCTAAGCAATAAGAAGTATTAGATTCTACATTAGCCACCCAAATTTTATGCCAATGCTCCAGATTCAAAAGTTATGCGCTTGGAATTGACGAGTGAAACGATCTTTTCATCTAGAAGCTTTAATCAAGACAGTAAATACACAACAGGAAAAAGAGACGAGTTATTAACCATATGCATGATGAAACCTTACAGTACCCAAAATTTTACATCCACTTCAGAATACCGATTGCTTTCAAAATGTACTTCAGATGTCGCGCACATATAACCAATAACCCCGCCAATGCACAAACCCACCCACCCCCAGAAAAAACAAATATCAGTTAAGACCTTTTGGGTTTCAAATGCTAGAAAACTGAACATAATTGAAGCATGAAGTTCCAACTTCTGAGAATAGAACAATCAATATATGTTTAGATGCTAACAAAGCTGCCTTAATGGGTGTTAGAAACTTAGAATTAATGTTATCACGCTTGCAGTTGTTATCAATGTCATTTAAAATTTAAAATGAACTTAATGAGCACCAAATCATATGCGAAAAAGCAAATATACGCGTGTAAGGATTGATGAGAATAACCTTTTTTATTCCAAGTAAATTTAATCTATCATCATTTACAATAGCAAGGACAGCGTCCACAACCATTTCAGCAAAAAATTCTTTTTCGCCTCCTATTAATTTTGATGATAGTGTTGTAGCAGCACATTTTGCCAATAAGGACTGTTCGCGGGAAAAATCATGTCTTTCTTCATTATTGATTTCATTGTCATCTCAAATAACAGCTTTTTGAGTTACAAAAGATCCGGTCTTTTTTAGATCCGGTTACAACAAAATCAAAGAAAAAGAAAAAAAAATTACAACTTTCCTTTTACAACTTTCCTTTAGAACAAATCGCAAGATCCTGTTTTGCGGTCTCTTGCTTGTGTGGGTTCTTTGCTGACGCCGGGGTTAATCCGTGGACCACCGCGCGATCTAGATCCCATCGGATCTACACGATTCGACGGGTATTATTTCACAAAGGAAATAATAGCCGTAGGGTACTAATTCACCATTGCCTCGTGTAGATCTCAGATCCGATTTTTACCTCTCTCGAATTCCTGCCTTTTTTGACGTGGACGTTCACCGAGAATCAGATCTGAATCTTCAAGTCTTCAAAACTCTGCGCTCAATCTCCAATCCGGCAGAGTAACGGCTCTCCAAGTTCCAACCTCTTCAAATGAACAAAGGGGAGCCTATTTATGGGCTCTCTGAACTGTGCCCGCGCACAGATCTGGGTCGGCCACCCATGGGTGGCCGGCACTGGGCCGAGCCACCCACGGGTGGCTCAGCTTTGGCCGAGCCACCCTTAGGCGTAGGGTTTTGTTGTTTTTTCCATTGTATCCGCTTTTGTTCGTGATTCGGTTGTTGATTCGGACTCTGATTTGTTGATCTAATTTGGCAGTCGATCCGAATCCTGATTTGGCAGTAAATCCACTTCTGGGTTCGAGTCTGAAACCGATCTTGATTCGATCGTGATTCGTCCGAGTCCGCTCTTGTTTGAATGACTCGTTGATTCTCCGAACCGTTAGCTTGATTCCACGCTCGAATGGATGTATTCCGTTGCTTGCGTGCGATTCGTCAACCTCGTCGCCTCGTTGGTTCGTTGGTTTGTGCCGAGCTATGCTAAGGGGCCTATGAGCGATTTTACATGCCTACAGATACCCCCTCCAAAGTATTTCAGCCTCGTTCCTTTATAGAAGAGTCTGGAATACTTTGGATATGATTGTCCCAATCTTCAATCGGTGTAACGGGACCTTGGAATGGCTTCCGTTCTTGATTCCTTCAATCCTCCAGGCTATTCGGTGCTTTGTCGAATGTCTGTAAGAATTCCGGTGCTGCATTTATTGTCTGACCATTGTCGGAATTTTAAACTTGAAGTCGATTCCTGATTTTCTAATCTTTAGCTGACCATCGATTGTTGGCGTTGAGTTTTTATTTGCGACGCGTTGTCCGGCGTAGTGTTGTTGAGTTATCCTTAAGAATATTTATAAAAATATTCTCCAGGAACTTCTCAACCAAAAATAGAGAATAGTTTATACTCATATACGTTATTGGAGTATTTTCTGTGCTCGAATGAGCTGAACCGGCTTGATAATGAGCCAAAAAAAGGCAGTAATTTGGCTCAAAAAAATTTCTGATCCTTCCGAATATGTGGGAGAGGCAAGGATAAACTAAGGACTGAACCCTCGGTCGATTTGAAGTTGTTTCGATGCTTGATTCAGCTTCAATTTGAATTCAGGTTCAAACTAGGTCTGGTCCGGCTCAACTTGGTCTTGGTTCAACATTATAAAAGAGGGTTTTTTTTTCTCATTAGGGCCGGCCCCCTCTCTCTCCCTTTCTTTCACTTTTCTCTTCCCTCGAGCGCCCGTTCTCCCTCAAAACTTCATATTTGCATTAGATCTAGTCTTCCTTTGGATCTTTGACTGAGAAATCCCTCAAAACTTCCATATTTAGAATTTCTTTCAGGCCCCTCGAGCGCGTGGTCTGAGTCTCTTTCAAGATCTGATTTTTATTGGATCCACGAGCTTTTCCTCAGGTAAATCCTCAACCATTTTAGCATATTTTATGCTTAATTCAATTTATGAATTTGTGGGGTCGCATGCGAGGGTTAGGATTAAGATTTGGCGCCTCGGGCTCACCTTTCAGGGGGGAGAATTGCAAAAAGAGGAACTTTTTTCTAGATCTGATCCCTTAACTTATTTTGCAGGTCTCTATGTCTCTTATTGCGAGGGGTCAATCCTCTACCGCGTCGGCTGATGGCGCGCATCCTTCTTATGCTGGTGAGCTATTTTTGTAAATTTACAAATTAGTCTATTTTTTCTTGGAAATTTGCAAATTGGTCCTTTTCACCCCATTTTGTTCTCCTTGGTGAGGCAATCGGGAAGAGCCTTGATTCTCCTTGGCGAGGATCGACGCTTTAAAGATATGTTTTGCTTGGTCAAAACCATATCTCCAAATTAATAAAGGGGACGTTTTGACGCTGCATTGTGCCTTATAAGGCAGGGACATATAGTCGATATACCCTATCTTATAAGTGCATAATGTGGCCAAATCGTCTCACCCTTTATAAGGCAATGACTCTATCTTACCCATTCGTAGGATGAGTTCAACTTCCTTTTATGATTGAGACTAACAACTGTTTAAATTTTTGCTTCTAGTGGAATATCCTTCTGGGGCGTTCTCATCTCACGCAGTGTACGGGCGTCGTGGCGATATTATTCGACTTCCGACGATTTTTCCCCCATCCCAGTCACTCCTCGGTTTGCTTCGGGCATGTCGACAGAGGTTGCCCAAGTGGTGAAGGAAGGTGGATATCGAGCTCTTCGCCAGTTGATGACAAATGCGCCCCTCGTGAAGGACGCCAGCTCGATTCAGCCTCTCAAGAAGACCGACTTTTTATTTAGCGATTCTGCCAGAGATCCGGATGCCGTATTTATTGATGCTGAGCAGTGGCTTCATAAGACTGGCAGCGGTTTCATATATTTGCTGAAGATTCCTCGGCATCGTTCGTTGACTGAGCTCCGGCGTCAGGCTGTGACAGGGGAGATGTCGTGGCGCTTGACGGAGGAGCATGAGAGCGTTCACTGCGGATACATCACTCATCAGGCAGCTCCTGGTTCGAGCAGGAGTCACATCACTGGATTGCATCCTGGAGTATTGGGATTAGATGCACCGCCACGTAACGAGCTTCTTGCCGCTGCTTCTACTTTGAAGAATCGCCTCGCTGCTTTAGGACGGGAGATGCCTGCGACACGCCACAGGTTTTATGGTTGGGTCCATTCTTTGGACAAGCTTTGGTGGACTCGTATGACGAAGTACGTCTTGAGCCGATGGAGCGAGGAGTTGCACGCTTGTGGTCTGTATGCAGCCGTTCGTGCCACTATGTATGGTTTGCCTGTTAGCACGAAGCATTTCTTCGCTTTGTGCGAGCTTTATAACCCGGATTCGAATACTTTTCTGACCCGGCAAGGGGAGTTGGGCTTGGCCCTCCATGAGATGCACAAGATTTCTGGTTTGCCCATGGGACAAATGCTATATCAGGAATATTTTCCCTCCAACCAAGAATTGAATCAGCTGAAGGATCGAATGCCCGACCGCTACGAGACTTTATGGGACCTCACATGTCACTATCATATCGCTTTGGCGCAGTCTGAACCCTTAGCGAAGAGGGATAAATCCCATGTGAGCCAGAAACAGTTTGCGTCTTATTTGTTCAGGAATCTAGAGAGCAATTCTGGCGAGGCTATTTGTGAGCTGGCGCCACTCACTCCTTCAGGGGTTAATAATCTACTGAAGAAGGTTGATGCTCATTCCTATACCACTAGCAGTCCTGAGAGTGGTTTTCCTACAGGGACCAAGTTCAAATCATTCTTGTGGCATACGACCGCGCCGATTCGACCGATGACCCTTCTCGCTGGTTACCTCGCTATTTGGTTAAAGAAATGCGTGGTCCCGCTATCAGTCTAGTGACATCTTTCCATTGGCAGTGCCTCTACCCCAGCGCGTTCAGCTTGCCTAACAAAAAGGAACTTTCGCTTCTTCCGGTGCATGCGTGGGCTAAGCATTTCATCGAGGCGCTTCGACAGATGTCTCTAGCTGCTTTTTACATGAAGAAAGCTGGGCCTCCCCGACTCCAGATGCGCCTTACCAGTAAGGTGGAGCTTTCCGCTACACTTATTTTTTTGATGGCTTTGGTATCGTCTCTTCCATCGTTCCGAGTATGATGTCAAAGTACCGCGGCGCTTATGCTACAGACCCCTCCGTCCCCGTACTCGCCAGCTGCTTTGAGGCAATGGCAAGTGGGAGTGCGGGCAGGATTCTCCTGACGTCCAGACAGCAGCTACACTCCACAACGTGTTGGGGCGTTTCCGCTTGCTTTTTCCGCAGTTCTCGGGCTCCGATACGGAGATTGTCTGATTGATGAGGACGAGCCGGAGCGAGTTATCGCACTCATTTGGCACATCGCGCTGCTTTAACTGGTGCGTGAACATCAGGCCGGCTTATTCTGACTTCCGAGTTGGAGGCAATCAGTGGTTCATAGCAGCCATACCTACCCTGCCCGCATTCCTCGCCAGTTTGGCTATGCATCAGGCCTTTAATGTCGGAGAAATCCACCGTCAGCAGCTTCGGACCCACGCCGCGGTTGGTGGACGGTCTTCGGCATGGCTTAGGACCATGACTGCCGGCTGTACTTGGTGCATAAGTTTTAGTCTCCCGAGTTCTGAGCGGCAGTTGAACCTCACCTTCCTAAAACTGCAAGTGGTGCGCGTAGCAGCCAATAAGACTATTCCTGTGAAAGGCCGATTGCAGAGCTGGAGGCTGAGGAGGCTTCTCAGGCTGATTCTCGTATGATTTGGGAAAATGCTCGGTCACAAAGGGTACGGCACAAGACTCGTCGGATTGACGAAAAGGGAAAGAAGATCTTTAATTCTGCTGATGAGGCTTCAGGCGGAGATTTTGAAGATCACGAGGACTGTCTTGAACGAGGTCAATTTCTTACTTTTTCCTTTTATCTTCCAGAATTATTAAACCTGACAATGGTTTGATGTTTTAAGGAGCATGGCTGACCAAGATGAAGAATTCCGTCCTTCTTCCCAGACGAGACTTTCGATTGTTGCCCCTGCCGCTAGGCGGAAGAGATTAGCCCGCAAGCCGCGTGTAGTTTCGCGAGCATCTGATATGGATTTGGCCGGTGACGATCCTGCTAGTGATGGAGGTAACATCTACCCTATAGACTAGCTTCTTGATCATTCAGAACTTTGACTCACGCTTTTCCATTTCTATATAGGAGAGCGTGGGGAGAGAGAGATGAGTCCTGCTCCTGTTTTTCACGATTCTATATCTTCTGGTGAGCCCGACTCACCGCACCAGGTAGAAAGGCCTGCAGAAGCTGGTGACATTAGGGAGACCGTCAATGTAGGACCCGGTTCGATGAATCCAGGTACATCTACCATTAACAATACACAAAGGAGTTGAATGATTTGGAATTTGTGCATTCCCTAATTGTCTCTATGCTTCTTGCTCTTTTAGATAATTCGCAAGAGGCAAACGTGGATTTTGGGAATAGAGAGGCTGACGCACCCATAAGAGGTAATTCATTTCTATTGGCCGTAGTCTCTTTATTCTCCTTTCGTGCTTATATTCTCTTGTGTCAGATTTCTCGACTGATGATTTTTACGAGGAAGGCTTGCTTGTGGACACTCCTATGCTCCACTTTATATATGGTTCTCCTCAGATTGATGACCAGTTGCGTGGAGATGTATTTCCTGAGTCTACGCTCCCTAAGAATCCCGATGATGGTTTTTCTGAAGGTACGTAGCTCTTCTCAAGTTAATTATAGGACCAGTCAATTTTTGACTAATGCAACTATAATATGATGCATCTGAGAATTCTATTTTGTATTTGACAGGAGCTTTTGTCGAGACTGATCCTGTTGAGCCGGCTGTGGGACCAACTACACCAGTTGATACACCCCCAGCCGTTACGCCTCCACCACCCCCGGTGATTCAAGGGGAAGAAGGTATAACTTGAGCAACTGAGGAATGTCATTCATTTCTTCATCAAGGCTTTTGACGGATTTCTCCTTTTTGTGTAGGGCTTTCTTCTCGGCTTCACGTCCTTGTGAAGGAGTTATTATCAGACAGCGACCCAGAGAAGATTGTCATCTATATAGAGATCCGTTCCTTCTTCTCCTTTGTGAATGCTATGATTGATAAGCTCTTCCACGGCGGACTTTCCCTTCACCAGTTCAAGCCATTCCTTGATCTTAAGATAAATTCAATAAGGGATGCAGGGTACCCAGATCTGGCGAAGTCTATTGTTGATGATCTTGACTGCCTAGAGCGTGAACTTCAGATGTTTCGTGAGCTCCGGGATGCAGATGCCTCTTCATTCATCGCTGCCGAGTTGGATACTCACTTACAGACATGGCGTGATGCTAGGTTCCTTGCTGAGTTCGACATTCAGGTGCAGCGGGATCGAGTGGATCGAGTCGAGGCCCACCTTACTGCTAGATCATCTTCACTCACTGAGCTTGACTCCTCTATTACCTCTTGTGAGACCCAGATAGACCAGCTCCAAAGAGAGCTCAATGAGAAAAAGGAGACTTTGATTATTCTTCAGATGACGAAGACACAGGATCAGCATACACACACTGCTTTATCAGATGAGCTGAAGTCCTTGAAGCAGAAGTTGACCGAGACGGAGGAGGTTGCTGCGAAGACTTTAGCCACCAACGAGGAGTCTATCAGAGCTGAGCTGAGACAAGCTTATGATGAGAAGCTGTCTAGGCTTAATCAGAAGATTTTTGGCCATGTTCTTGATGTATGATTTTATTTGCTTAATACTCTGACTTTTGATTTTCTTAGTGGAACTGGTTTTTATCCTTATCTTCATTATGATTCCTCATTCCGTTTGAAATGATTGACCATAATACTTTTAGGATTTTTGGCAAACCCTCAGCCCTCAACGGATTTGATTAGCCTTTACCGACTACCGTTTGAGTCGGGCTAGCATGCAGATTGTCTAAATCCGTTCCGCATGTCACGTTGTGCTAAGAGAGTGAATTCTCTGAGACTTTCGTGCTATGATGTTGAATACATAGACTTTACCACTTGTTATGGGAATAGGCTACCCGGCGACACGTGTTAGGTGTTGACTTTAGGATTTTTGGCTAACCCCCAGCCCTTAACGGGTTTGATTAGCCTTTACCGACTACCGTTTGAGTCGGGCTAGCATGCGGATTATCTAAATCCGTTCTGCATGTCACGTTGTGCTAAAGGAATGAATTCCCTTAGACTTGATGCTACGGTTCCGAATACGTAGAGTTCGCCATTGTCATGGGAATAGGCTACCCAGCAACGTGTTTTAGACGTTGACTTATCCCTACTTAGGCTTCGGGATAAAATTCCCCAGAATCGAACTCTGGTGTCTTTTTCTACGGAAAAAGACTAAACCAGCGGCGCGTGTTAGGTGTCGGCATATCCTTTCTTAGGATTCAGGATGAAATTCCCCACGCGTGTAAGGCATGGATTCTGGTGTTATTAATGACAACCTGTCACAATGTTGAATATGTGAACGGGTGTTCTTTTTAACGGTTAAGGACTAACCGGCAGCGCGGGTTAAGCGCAGACTTATCCTTGCTTAGGTTTCAGGATAAAATACCCCAGAATCGAACTCTGGTGTCTTTTTCTACAGAGAAAGACTAAACCGGCAGCGCGTGTTAGGCGCAGACTTATCCCTGCTTAGGATTCGGGATAAACTTCCTAGGATAAATCCTAAACTGACAAATTTTGGAAAGATCGGTGCGGGAAAGGAAGAATTTTATATTCTATTTACCGGTCTTCTTTTAGGATGAAGGCAAACCCGGATACAAGGAAGGAAGAATTTTATATTCTATTCCTTGATTCTGGAAAGGAAGAATTTTATATTCTATTTCTAGCGCAAAAGAAACTAGAAGTGGGATCTCCACTCCGAGAATCTGGAAAATCTAGATAAACCTGCCTTTTATAGGATTGGTTATCTAAACTGAAAAGGAGTTCTTCGTTTATCGAAGTGGAACTTCAACTTTGGTCATAGCCATGAGAGGGCTTAACCAAAGAGAAGGAGAAGGGAGTTCTTTCGTTTATCGAAAGGGGACTTTGAAATAAAAGTAGACCTCTTGTTCATGGAAAGAGTCAAGAGGGCCAGAAAGACATTTTTGGTGGACCCACTGTCAATTGAAGTTGATCAGTGAGGGATTTTGGTGGTAAAAAAGATTTTGGGTTATCCTCTAGAATATTAAGTGTAATATTCTTCAAGGAACTTCCCGGTAAATGGGTTATCCTGAATGTACTAGGGATAATACTTTTTCAGAAACTTCCCATTTATTGGCATTAATTGCCTGGTACCTTCCTGAGTAATCAGGCGATATGCACCGTTTGAGTAGACTGTGTCTATCACAAACGGTCCTTCCCATTTGGGTTCGAATTTACCTTTCTTCTTGGAATTGAGGATTATCGGTCGGCGAGCAGCGAGGACCAGATCTCCTTCCTTGAAGCTTCTTTGTCGGACTCTTTTGTTGAAAGCCCGAGATATTCGGGCTTGATAGAACTCGATGTGTTGTTGAGCCTCCAAGCGCTTTTCATCCAACCTCTTGAGTTCTTCGAGACATTTTTGATGCTGTTCCTCTGTCGTCATCTCCGTCACGAGGGCGATCCGAAGGGATGGAATTTGGATCTCCAATGGTAGCACAGCTTCACATCCGTATACCAACGAATACGGGGTGGCTCCTGTAGGTGTGCGTATGGTGGTGCGATAAGCCCAGAGTGCTTCACCGAGTTTATCGTCCCAGACAAAATCTTAATGATCGTCTTGTTGAATGCCTCAGCTAATCCATTCGCAGCGGGATAATAAGCTGTCGACGAAACATCTTCAATTTTAAACTTGTCACAAAACCTGATGAAGGCGTTGCTTATGAACTGTGGACCGTTATCATGAATGATCCGTCTTTGATGACGTTGTTCGTCTTCACTTCTCTAAGCGGAATCGCTTCAGCCCACTTTGAGAAATAATCTGTGATCGCGAGGATGAACCGATCACCTTTGACTGAGGGGGGAAAAATAGGACCGACAATGTCCATACCCCATGTCTCGAACGGCCAGGACGTGGTTGACGTGTGCATCTGCTCTGGTGGCTGATGCATATAATTTGCATGTATCTGACAAGCGTGGCATACTCGTGCGTATTCGATTGCGTCACGAACCATCGTTGGCCAGAAATATCCCATTCTCATGATGCGATCATATAGTTTGGGACCAGACTGATGTGCCCCACATTCTCCTTCGTGTGCTTCCTTAAGAACTTCTTCTGCTTCTTTGTTCGAAAGGCATCGGAGTAATAAACCATCGTACCCTCTACGGTATAACGTATGGGTCTAGGCATTATAGAAGAATCTTGGTGCTCTTCGGCGGTACATCCTCTGGCAAAATACCATACTGGACGTAGTCAATGA